AGAATGAAAAGAGAGAGCAAAAAGGAAGAAGGGTGTTTCCCACCTCACTTGAAGATGCTAGTCCTCATAGAAGGGAGGGGCCTCACTGGTGTCCTGATATCTCCCTCAGACAAAGTCATCACAAGGAAACTTCAAACCAGCCCTTTTTGTGAATACAAAGGCAAAAATCTTTAGAAAAACTTTCAACAAATTCAATCCAAAAAGACATAAAATGATTACATGGCTAAGTGGGGCTCATCCCAGGAATGCAAGGATGATTCAGTGTCTAAAAATCAATCAATGTACTTCACCCCCTTAATACAATACAGGCCTCTGTGGGGACCATCTGTGCCTGCAGCCCCAGTACTCTTGAGGTACAGTAAACTCTTTCACCTAAGATCAGGAACAAATAAAGACGTCTACTTTCCCCCTACAGTTTCAGGCTAGGGCAACTGAGAGAGAAAAAGGAATGACGGAAGCTGGACAGAGTGGTGTACACCTATAATCCCAGCACAAGCACATGGGAGGTGGAGGCAGGAAGGTCAGAGAGAAGTTCAAGGTCATATTTGGCTGCATAGTGAGTTCAAACCAGCTAGAGCTATATGAGACCCTGTCTCGAAAAAATATTGAAGAGAATTGGAAAGGAAATAAAGCTATCTGTGGTATCGCTAGTCACAGAAAACATGACTTTACATATAGAAAATCCAAGGAATACTATGTAAATAGGATAAATGAGTCCCTGGAGGATGTAGAATATAAGATCAATAATCAGAAATGTTCTATACAGTTGAACAATTCCAAAATCAAATCGGGGAAAAACTTCAATCTGTAGTGTCATCTAGAAGAATGAAGTGCTTTTGACTAAATCTGACCAAGGTGCATGAGTTTATTGAAAAACCATAAAACATTAAAGAAATGGAAGGACAGGCTGGGGAGGTGGCTCAGCAGTTAAGAACACTGTTCTTGCAGAAGACCCAGATTCGAATCCCAGCACCCACATGGCAGCTAACAACTGTCCATAACTCCAGCTCCAGGGGATCCGACAGCCTCTTCTGTCCTCTGCGGGCATTGCATGACATGGG